TTCCTCACAGCTGCGCCATGTTGACCAGGCAGCAAAGAATAAGACAATCCGATCAAGTGTGAGTCTGTCACCGTAAAGCCCGTTAAAGCTGCTTGTTCTAACGGGACTATTTCTGGCGCGAAGAGCGCGCGCACCGTGGTGCTGAACAGACAGCTCCTCTTCACCAAAGCGGATTACCCAAAAAAAAGGTGTCTGTGAAGGCGCGCTGATTGGCTGTGGAGGGATGACGTCACGGAGCAAGTAGCTCCAACGATTGTTTCTTTTTGTTCGTAAAGTTAACTATCCAGTGTTGAATGGGTTTGTTAACAATCTGCTGAAAAAGCTTAAAGTGAGTGGAATCACAGCTGAACTTTCACTGTCAGCTGAAATGTTGCACAGAAAAGACTAAACGCTAAATGGGTGTAGCTAAAACTCAGCAGAACACAAGTCAAAAATAGTAAAATGCTACATAAAAAACTAGACACTAGCACACGGTAAAGTAGAAGCTAAAAGTAGCAAAAGGCTAGATGCTAAAGTAGCAAACTGCTAATTAAAAATAGCAAAATTCTAGCTTGAAGCTAAGATTAGCAAAAGGTTAGCTAGAATCTAAATGCGGATAAACGCTAGCTAAAAGCAAAAACAGCAATAGTCTAGTTAACTCAAAAGTAGCAAAAATTTAGCTAGAAGTAGAAAATGGTAAGCTAAAAGGAAGCATTGAAGCTAAAATTAGCAAAAGTCCAGCTAAAAGCTAGATGTATCCATAAACTAGGCAAAAGTAGCAAAAGGCCTTGAAGCTAAAAGTAGCAAAAGGCTAACTACAAACTAATATCTCAATGTATTTCTATTTGTAAATGAAAGAGAATACTTGAAAAGTATAAAAGTTATATAAAAAAACAAAAGTCATAGCTCCTATCTCCTAAATGAGCTCAACATTTTGATATAGAATCTTTAAAATAAAACAGAAAAACATGTTGACTCATACATTCACACTATTAGGTCTCTGTATTGGACATGGTGATCTCCTTTCTGAGTTAGTTGCATTTTTCAGTTTCTTATGATAAGTGTCCTTAATGAGACATAGTGATCAACAATGAGTACAAAGACAACAACTTTGTGAGACTTACAGTAGGAGTCCAAACATGTAATTATATTCGGTGCTCTTGTGAACACGCTCCACATATCTCCACTGAGGCTGGTCTTTAACAGGCACAATTGCAGCCATGATGATTTTCCAACGCAGGTGAGCATCTTCAATGAAGGCAAGCGGTGGGGAAACAGGATGTGGTGGCAAACAATTAGCACCGGTTGCCTGCTTAGCTGTGAAAGGTCAATAAGTCCTGGTGTGCAGGCTGGAAGACATACCACTGAGCTCTGCTTCAGATTCATGCACCTAATCACATCCACAGTCACAAATGTTCCAAGCCTTTTAAAAAATGAAACATTGGTTTCTGAGTGATAAAATTCAAGCATTGTGTTCTTTAAAAAGGGCCAGACACTGGTAGCTCCAGACGATTAAAGTCAATGCATGACAGGGAGACAGTTTCATGACTCATTAAAGTACTTGAATAAACTCCACTGGTTGCAGGTATTTGAACAACGTGTTTTTTAACCAACATGAAATCCACAATTGTTCTTCTGCTTAGTGTAAATCAGAATCATTAGAAAGCCAATTTTGCAAATACTGATTGAACATTATATACGACAACACGTCCCCCATCATTAACAAATCAAACACCTCCCACATAATTACTCTGAAGGTTTCAAAACAGTGTTGCCCCATCATTTTTGTGTGTAAAATGATCTTAGTTTAACACTCAGGCTTGAAAGGCGACAGTGCATTTCTGCAAAGAATGCCAGACTTTGTACTGGAGCTGCATAAAACCTATTTATAAATCCTCATAACTAATGTCCTTTAACTGATTGAGACTATCTTGGTAGCTATTTTCAGATTTAATATTCCAAACCTGGTAATGAGCCCATACTTTTAATCACTGAGGTAAGAATAAATGCACTCTTTATCACATAGTCATTTTTTTCCACTTATTTGTGCTTCTCTTTTAGATAATTCTTGAGAAATAAAGGATAGTGGCTCCTCTTGTTTGAACAAGTCTCCAAAGTTAAAAAAAAAGCTTGCTGAAGAAGTTCTTAAACATTTGAATGATGAAACATACTATCAAAGTTCATGCTCAATAATCCAGGTAAAAAAATCCAACAAAGTGAAGTGGACTTAATTAAACTTTGTTGGATTTTTTACCTGGATTATTGAGCATGAACTTTGATGGTTTTAACCACTATGGCCATGACTGCCTCAGAGGAGAAATCGGGGGAGAGGGCGAACTCCAGAAACCATCAGAGCACCATCAAACTGGTTGACCCACTCTGTAAGTGTGCTGTTTATAAGGCTGATTTTGTTGCGGCTCCTCGAACTGAAGAAGTCCTTTGGATGAAAGATGAAACATCTCAATATAAAGAAACCATCCAGAGGACCTGACTTAACTTTGGTGGATGAAACAAAACTTTTTACTGTTCTTACTTGTTTTTTCGAGGGTTTATCTGTTCAAGATTAGCTCGAAATTGCAAATTAAAGAAAAAAAAAATGGAAGGAGGCCGAACTTGGCAGCAGAGATTGACCATCAACACCTTGATTTGCTTGTACAGGGATTGGTAGCGCTGCTGAAACCTGTGACATGCAGCCTCCTTTGATTTATTCCTGGATATTAGACGATGACATCACACCTAGTTTCTGCTGACTGCGGGGACACACACCAAAACTACCTGCATGCTGGCTGCCAGCTATTTTTGTGAAAATGGAAATTTTAGTACTGATTACAAAGGCTCAACTTTATTATTTTCTGTGTTGCGCATATTTGCAAGGTTGAGGAGTGTAATTCTTCTTTTTATTTGCATTACTGGGTTATAGAGTTCTTCTTTTGCACATGTCAAGAAAGCATCTGAATGGAGATAAAACAGAGGATGTAGACGGAGCCTTTAGATGTATGAATAGATTATAGAGTCCTGCAGCTGATTCAGACTGGGTCTCAACAAGGAAAGTGCTCTTCTTTCTATAGAAGACATGTTGCAGAGGTGATCCGGATTCGTCATAGGGGCATGATCAGGTGCAGCAGTGCACTGAGAAAACACAAATCTAATGGACAGACGAGTGGTTATGGAAAGTGGCTGTACCAGTGTGTCATCCACTCTCTCCAGTGAAGGATAAAGCCTTCGTCAGAAAAAAAGTCCACTAATGAAACAAACATGATGTTGCAATAAGCCTGAGACAAACATCTTTTAGCAGATCATTATTACTTATGGAACAGTGGGTGCAAAAGAGAATGAGAAAGCCACATTATATGTCAAATTATCTTTTGCATCATATGTGACATTCACTAAAAGGAAAATCTCATTCTGCCTTCTTCTCTTCTTTTCTTTTCGTCACTGGCCCAAGTCTATGGAAAGCTGTGAAGGAGAGAATTATGAATGAAAACCCATTAGCTGAGCCTGTGAAGAGGGGCCTCATAGATTAGATGTGATAAATAATGTTCTTCTTTCAGCCAAGCTTTATTACTGCAAAGCTAATGAAACAAGTATTATCTGTGGGCCTGTCACTAAAACCGTTTTACTGATAAACTCAATGTGGACAGGGGGAAAAAAAGCTTTTAGCATTGTTTGATGAAAACAACGAGAGCATCCTAAAATATCAACCTTGGGCACCACAACTCAGCCTTTTAGTTGGCTTAAGAAATGAGAAATTAATTGCACAAAGATGTTTGTTGATGTTGCCAAATTGACATAATTTAAAATTCTAGTTGTCTTGGGTGAAAAGAAGACTTTTAAATGAAGGTTTCTTTTTTATTTATTTATTTTTTCAAGAAAAATGCTAAGATCATACTTTACTCTTCAAACCCTGGGCACATTTTCATGTAAATCATTAAAGTCTTGTTATAAATAAAGAAAATCCAAACACAAGATTGAAATTGTCACTCATGATGTATCTATTTTCTAAAGCGCAATGAAAGAGATAGAGCCATTTGCAAACTCTTCAAGCTACTTTCTTAAGTGGTTAGTTTAAGGGAAATAGCAGGACCCACTAAAAAATAAACAACTATTACCATGTCTTGTATCTGATAAACCATATATACCATATTTATTTTTCCACCATCTACTGGTAAAATCAGCCCAAACCAGTGCAAAGGCAGAAAAACTACAAGCATCTCTGGTCTTAATGTTTTGGCTATTTGCTTACCAGGTCAATTACTTACAAAAAAAACCTTGCATTGTCTAACTTGAATATTTTATAAAAAACAGAACCCTGCAGAATGTTCGTTGGTGAATTTATTTTATATTATAAATTTATATTGTTTGCTATGATTGGTGTCCTGAAATACCTTTAAAATTTTGCTTCGTAAACTCCTATTAAAAATTAAGCAAACACGTTTAGAACTGAAAATGGATCTCCTTTTCAGAGTAAAGTTGTAAAGTTTATTTTTTCCCCCTTTATTTATGAATTTTGACATATAATTTGACATATCAGGTTCAGTTTATTTTATAGTATTTCATTTTTATATTCATAGTAATTACAACATTTCCCTTTCCCTTATATGAATAAATAAATATAAATTGCAAGCTCCTCAGATTGAATAAGTCTTTTGGATAAAAGACGAAACGTTTTAACAAAGAAGAATCCGTCCAGAGGACCTGACTCACCTTGTTAGATTAATCTACCTGAACATTTCCCCTTCCCCTTCACAATAGCCACAAGCTGAAGACCATCGAAAACGATGGTCTTATAACCACAGTTTTCAGTTTGTATCAATACGCTAGTACTACATTTGAACATTTCAAGCAAGAAAGTTATTTTTAAAGGGCCATATCTAAACAATATATTTTTTATATGTTTAATTTTGTCAATATAATATAATTTTGTTGTATTTTACCTGTATAATATAAGATATAACAAGCAACACGCGGAGGGATATATCACAGTTACACCTTCAGAGACGAGAACGAGCGCGGCGGGTAGAGAGTACAGACTGTTTCCTGTCGGCGCTTGGGGTAAGTGCGCAAGGTTAGCTTTGTCTTTTAAACTTTGGTGAAATATCAGTTGCATTCTATAGCTTCTTTGGTGCAATTATTTGTTAGCATTGTTAATTAGAGCCAAGATCTTTATTCTTTGTGGCCCGTACCTGATTTCTTTTGAAGTAGCCGGTTAACGACACACGAGCTTGTGTTGTATATTTTTGAACAAGCTAGCTTGTTTGCTAACATTTGTCGTTTATTCTGCAAAATTAACGTGCGTTACTTTTGATGTTTTATTGGGAAAATACATGAGTGCGGAACGCAACACAATAATTGAACCATTCAAATATTTTACCGAAAGATTGTTGTATAAATGCTTAAATGCTGTTGGAAGTTACAAAAAATCGTGCTAGCCGATGCGTTATGACATCATCAATGTGCGTCCATTGATCGGCTTGTTGTTTTAGATATTGATAAAACCATATTGTATTTTGTACTTTTGGTCTTTATTTGGGTGTGGTGAAAAGTTATTCTTGTTAATCCGATGGACAACATAAACTTAGGTTTTCAAGAGAAAGTAAAACAATTTCCGGAAAAATAGTCGAAAACGTTAAACAGAGTGGTTGTCCAGTGAGTGACAGTTTATGGCAGTTCTATTCAACAAGTACCTCTGGTGGATACAGTCCTTTTAATATTTCTTTGGACCCACACAAAACTGCCAAAATTCCAAACAATATGCAACACCTATCAGATCTACTACCATACATTGTGTCTCATATTAAAGCAAATCATTTGTCAAACAGCCTCAGGTGAGTCACAACATGCACATCTGTAAGCAGATGTTTGATTGATCAGTCCATTTCACCTGTGCAATGGTCAGTAAGACCGATGGATAACAATGTCAAATGCTGCAATTGCTAAGATCTCAGTATGTCCCCTTCAAGCTTCAAGCCACAACTTCTACCCTGAAGCTATTAGACTCATAAATCCCTAATCAGGATTGTGAAAAAATTGAAGAAAATAAAAAACAAGAATCACTGTAATGCTACATCGATTGTTGATATGTGCTGCTGATTATTCGTGCTGCTGATCTCATGCTGCTGTATTCATTCGTACTCATCTACTCACACAGACTCATGTTCGTGCTGCTGTTGTTCGACGTTTTGTTTTGCATTATTAAGTGTTTAGCGTCTTTCTTAGTTTAGTGTATTTCTTAGTTTTTGTCTTAGATCCTTTGTACTGTTTCTTTTACTATTTAGATTTTTGCTATTGTTATATGTAACTGTGACTCTGTGTACACAATTTTGTTCCGCCTCATGTACCACATGTGATGCGAATGACAATAAAGAACCTTGAACTTCAAAGCTAAAGATATAAAGCAGAATCAGAAACTGAACAATTTATTTTTAGTGAATGGACTGAAACATTATGTTTGTGCATTTAGCCTACAACAACCAGTGTTTGATGATGGGATTGAAGAATAAGCTGTGAAATGGTAATAGAAGTCAAATCGTGCTACATTTTGGCAAGTTTGCCAGAAAAATGTCAGTGATGGGAACGTACAGATGAGTCGCTCAGAAAGGGACTTTGTTTTTGAGGCTAAAACTGAGTGTGAATCTTTGTTGTCTTTGATGAAAGTGTGGATGAAAAGGTATTATATATTATTGCTTGTGACCCTCACACACAAACTTATTTTTATACATGGCCAACAACAACTGAAGTTGAATAAACCTGGTTTATAAGTTAGTGCACCTGAGATGCCTGAAGTTCATCTATTCTCACCAAACATTTTATACATTAGTACAAACCAGATTCCAAAAAAGTTGGGACACTAAACAATTTGTGAATAAAAACTGAATGCAATGATGTGGAGGTGCCAACATCTAATATTTTATTCAGAATAGAACACAAATCACAGATCAAAAGTTTAAACTGAGAGAATGTATCATTTTAAGGGAAAAATCTGTTGTTTCCAAATTTCATGGCGTCAAGAAATCCCCAAAAAGTTGGGACAAGTCCATTTTTACCACTGTGTGGCATCCCCCCTTCTTCTTACAACACTCAACAGACGTCTGGGGACAGAGGAGACCAGTTTCTCAAGTTTAGAAATAGGAATGCTCTCCCATTCATGTCTAATACAGGCCTCTAACTGTTCAATCGTCTTGGGCCTTCTTTGTCACACCTTCCTCTTTATGATGCACCAAATGTTCTCTATAGGTGAAACATCTGGACTGCAGGCTGGCCATTTCAGTACCCGGATCCTTCTCCTACGTAGCCATGATGTTGTGATTGCTGCAGAATGTGGTCTGGCATTATCGTGTTGAAAAATGCAGGGTCTTCCCTGAAAGAGATGACGTCTAGATGGGAGCATATGTTGTTCTAGAACCTGAACATAGTTCTCTGCATTAACGGTGCCTTTCCAGACATGCAAGCTGCCCATGCCACAAGCGCTCATGCAACCCCATACCATCAGTGATGCAGGCTTCTGAACGGAGCGTTGAAAACAACTTGGGCTGTCCTTGTCCTCTCTGGTCCGGATGACATGGCGTCCCAGTGTTCCATAAAGAACTTCAAATCGTGACTCATCTGACCACAGAACAGTCTTCCATTTTGCCACACTCCATTTTAAATGACCCCTGGCCCAGTGCAAACGTCTGAGCTTGTGGAGCTTGCTTAGAAATGGCTTCCTCTTTGCACTGTAGAGTTTCAGCTGGCAACGGCGGATGGCACGGTGGATTATGTTCACTGACAATGCTTTCTGGAAGTATTCCTGAGCCCATTCTGTTATTTCCTTGACAGTGGCATTCCTGTTTGAGGTGCAGTGACGTTTAAGGGCCCAGAGATCACGAGCATCCAGTAGAGTTTTACAGCCTTGACCCTTACGCACAGCGATTGTTCCAGATTCTCTGAATCTTTTGATGATGTTATGCACGGTTGATGATGATAACTTAAAAGTCTTTGCTATTTTACGCTGGGTAACACCATTCTGGTATTGCTGCACCATCTTTCTGTGCAACAATGGTGGAATTGGTGATCCTCTGACCATCTTGGCTTCTGAGAGACACTGACACTCTGAGAAACTCTTTTTATACCCAATCATGTTGTCATTTGACCTAATTAGTGTTAAATGGTCTTCCAGCTGTTCGTTATATGCTCAATTTCCTTTTTCCAGCCACTTATTGCTACTTGTCTCAACTTTTTTGGGATTTGTTGACACTGTGAAATTTTGAATCAACATATTTTTCCTTTAAAATGTTACATTTACTCAGATTAAACTTTTGATCTGTCATCTATGTTATATTACGAACAAAATATTGACATTTACCATCTCCACGTCATTGCATTCAGTTTTTATTCACAATTTGTTTAGTGTCCCAACTTTTTTGGAATCCGGTTTGTACATGTTAACTGTGAAACGGTTAATGTCAGTGGCTGAAGTTTGGTGTTTTGACTTTTTTCATTAAAAGCCTTGTGTTTCTGTCCTTTCTTCAGCACATGAGGTTCTAGTGACCGCAGAGCTCAGTGCAGACGGCTGCTCAGTCTGTCCTTCTGCCATCATGGCGTTTGTGCCTGCGCCCAGCCCCACAGTGGTGGACCAGACCACTCTGATGAAGAAGTACCTGCAGTTTGTTGCTGCGCTCACAGATACAAACACGCGTGAGTTCACTAACCGCAGGAACGACGTGGCTAAACGTAGTATTTATTAAAACCTTCTTTAAAAATAAAACCGTTTTACACAACTGAAAAATGTTTCATTTAAAATTGTATGCAGGGGTTTTGAAATTGTTGAAAGCTTAATTTTTTAATCACAAAGACAACATTTTTCATGCAGTTTGTACCAAGAAGAAAAGTTTTCTTAAAAAAAAAAAAAAGAAGAGGTTTAATATGTTGTGTTTTAAGTAAAATATATTTACAAGTTAACAATGTTACTGTGTGTTTTTACTCTCACTTTGTAAAGGGTTTGTTACAAATCTTGGTACCACTTTACAAGAAGGCTCCCCTTATAGATGCTAATATATAATATATATCTATAAACACTTTATAAATCATTAATAACTGCTTATTATGCATTAATTAAGGGTGACAGAGAGCCCAAACTGACCAGTTTCTTGTCAAACAGTGAGCCAAATCTGTTCACCTATAAATTTCGTCTAGACTTGTTATATTAAACATTTCAGACTAAGTTACTAAATTGTAGCACAATTAACATTTGGAAACCTATTTCTTTAGGATATAATATTGTATTTTCTCACTGCGTTATAAGTATCTACGACTAATATTATATTCTAAAAACAATTAGGTTTGCAAATTATTGTTCTTACAAGGTCATAACTTAGTATTAAATGTTTACTACAACAACTCTAGATGAAATATATAGGTGAACAGATCTGACTCACTATTTGGCAAGAAACTGCTCAGTTTTGTCTGTCACCGTCAATTAATGCATAATAAGCAGTTATTAATATTTATAAAGTGTTTATAGAGAGATTATTAACATAAACCATAGCATCTATATGGAAGCCTATGAGGCTCCCCCTGTAGATGGCTAATAAATAGACAAAGGGAGTGGTGGTGCAGAGAGTACAGAAGATCGCCGGTTCAACTTCCTGTACCGACGACATCATATTGTGGGTTAGGTGAGGCACACCTGCCTCCACCCTCATTTCCCCTACTCTGGGCCCTTGAGCAAGGCCCTTAACCCCCACCATCTGCTCCCCCGGGTGTCCTAGATCGCAGCTCTCTGCTCCACACAGGGCTGTGGTAGCTCGGTGTCTGTGGTTGCCTCAGGAAGGACATCCGGTGTAAAAACAATCGCCAAGTCTTCGTGTGACAGTTCGCTGTGATGAAAACTGAAGAAGGGAACGAAGAAAGAGGGGGGGGGGACTTATTGTAAAGTGGTACCCAAATTATTGTACATAGAGATCTGTAAAATATTATTTTTACCCAACTGTAATTCAACATTTAAATATATTTAATTACAAATATTTAGAGTTGATTATTTTCCTTTCATTGAAGTAATGTTCTATTTAAAATCCAGACAAAGTTATTGTATCCAGTACTACCTCATGTAAGGTTTTACTACTACAGTAGTTCAAGTGTAACTTATCACGGTTAGATGTTATTAATTATCTGACGCTTGTCAAACTTTTTTTGAGTTTTAAGCGGGATTGGATTAAATATTATAAATAAATAAAAACCTCATCAACAGTTACCAGAAAGCTTCACAATAGCTAATTTAAAGAAGTTTATTTTTCTTTGTTCGTTATGAACAGTTTTCATCCAACTGCTAACGTTCGATTTGGTGTCGGGCTGAATCTCCGTGTGCTTAGCGTGGGCGATGTGATGAGGGCGATGAGCTTTAGTCCAGTCAAAGGTACGAGTGTTTGCGTGTGCGCTTGTTTGTGTGCGTGTGCTTGAGTGTGTTTGTTCCTGTACCTTGTGATTAATCTGGACGCTGAAAGTGAAACTGATAAGATCTGAGAGCCCCTGCTGAGCACGCGGAGACGGCCCTGACGACTGCGGCTGTGTCCCTCAGGCTGTTTGATTAATGTCCTCCAACTTTCAGCCGATGAAACGAAGCTGAAGATGATGCAGGAGGTGAGCGAGAACTTTGAGGTGAGTTTGATGAACGCCTTTAGTGTGTAACGGAGTGGAATAATTTAATCTGCCGGTGGATTATGAGACATTTTGGTGGAGGTTTGGATCCCAGTGAAAACCTGGAGGGAACTCTTTGTTTTTGAGGCGTATAGTAATGTAGCTGTAGAATAGAAAGCTTCTGATAGACTAAAGGATGTTGCAAATGCTGGGAATACGTAGGGCTTCACTTTAACATCTTTCTTTAGATTGTGTTGTTTAAAGTCAAACATGTTGGACTCGTCGCTTTCAGAACGTGACGTCTTCACCTCAGTACTCCACCTTCCTGGAGCACATTATTCCTCGCTTCCTCACGTTTCTTCAGGACGGAGAAGTGCAGTTCCTGCAGGAAAAACCTACGCAGGTAAGTGACCAAAGAAACGCGCTTGGACTCGTTTGTGTACTTGTAACTATTATCACCATGTTCCTACACACCCTCGAGCTGTATGTAATTATATTCAAGGATTTTCCAGGTCTGGATAAGTCTTAAAAAAAATGTTTTGGAATAATGTTAGTGTTTCCAGACTTGTCTCTATTTTGTATTATATTATTTTCTAAAAGATTGCGTTGAAACTTTTTTAATTTACTAGGGATGCACGATATCATCGGCATGGTATCGGTATCGGCCGATAGTGGCGATAAAGTTAAATATCGTCCATTCCTTCAAAATAACTCCTCAAGTCTTCTGTTTTAAGTTATTTTTTAATTAAAGAAACAGTCGAGTTTATCTGTTAATGCACTTTTCACGTTGTTTGTGAACAGGTTGAGTTTAGATTTGTGTAAATGTATAAATTTGTACTGTTCGAGTGTCGTCGTTGTGTTAGAGTAATCATGAATAAATTTGACACTAAACATAATCCAAGTTGAAGTGTTGCATCATTTTCAGCCCATTTTGGCATCTGCATTTGGTAGCAGGTCAGATTAACAAAGATCATGCAGAATAATGTATTTTAATTCCACAGCAGAGAAAGTTATGTAGTCTATGTATGTAGGTCTAGGGAGAAATATCGGTATTGGTATCGGTTATGGACCAAATAAGTTTTAACATATCGGATATCGGACAAAAATCCAATATCATGCATCCCTAAAATTTACTCAAACAAGCTGAGTATTTTTGTAAATAAGAGCCAGCCGTGTCTTCTGGTTCTGTGACTGCATCAAGCCTCAGATTTAGGCTGAAGGTCATCAGCTTCTTTGTTTTTAAATAATCTTTTAGATTAAACTTGGACATCGTGTGGCTGGATGGTCAGAATCGGTCATTAGAGCATCTCCAACTGGTTCCTGGTGTCTTAAAATAAAAGAAACTGCTTGAAAATAAGTAAACGAAAAGCACCCTTTAAAAATAAAACTACATTTTAGGTGACTGACGAAACGAAATCTAAATTTAACTACATGGATAAATACTTTTTTTTAAACATATGTGAGCTAAAATCGTCTAAAGTGTTTTCTTTGGGCTTCCAGAATCAGAACATAAATGCTGTTTTTCCAAACTGTACTGCAGCTCTTTCATAAGTAAATCAAAGAAAGATTTTACTTTCACTATAAATAGAGATACTAGGGATGCACGATATTGGATTTTTGTCCGATATCCGATATGTTAAAACTTATTTGGCCGATAACCGATACCAATTCCGATATACATATATATATATATATATATATATATATATATATATATATATATATATTTTTTTTTTTTTTTTCCCTAGACCTACTTACAGAGACTACATAACTTTCTCTGCTGTGGAATTAAAATACTACATTATTCTTCATGGTCTTTGTCAGTTTGGCCTGCTGCCAAATACAGATGCCCCAAAAAAAAGAGGCTGAAAATGACGCAACACATCAACTTGGATTATGTTTAATTTCAAATTTATTCGTGACATTTAATCACAACAACACTCGAACAGTACAAATGTGTAAATTGTCACACATCTAAACTCAATGACGCATGTGACGTAACGTTTGTGCTGGTGCTGAAGGCGTCCTTTTTACTGGGTTCTCGTACAAACCAGCACCTTTTTATTTTGGCGAGTTATTTTGATGGAATGTCCGATATTTAGCTTTATCGCTAAGATCAGCCGATACCATGCCAATAATATCGTGCGTCCTTAAGAGACACGGTTTTATCAAATGAGCAGGATTTTGTTTGGAAGGAGAATTCAACCCATAGATCATAAAACAATTTGAAAAACTGCAACTTTTTTTTTTTTTTTTTTTTTTTTTCCCAGAAGCATTTCCTGCTGCTTTTTGTTCATGGTTAGTGGTTTTCATAAAGTGCTTAAAGTGAGAAGATGAGAAAAGAATCACTGTTTAAATACTCCTAGAAACTTTACTTTCAATATTGGAAAAGGCATCTATGTACATGTTAACTAACATGTAAAAAAGTACAGAATTAATTTTATTGTAAATTTGTGCCTGGAAAACTGGAATTCCATCAAATTAAAATAAGTAGGAACCCCATTATTACCGTAATTTCCAGACTATAAGCTACAACTTTCTTTTTTTGCACGCTTTGAACGCCACATCTTATAGACAAGTGCGGCCTATATATGTACAATTTTTCAATTTCGCGAGCGCAGCTTATATTCAAGTGCGCTCAATAGTCTAGAAATTACGGTAATCAAGAAATACTTTGATCCCGAGGTTGAGGGATTAATTTGTAACACTTCAACTTTTGAGTGACGCGTTTGTCGCTCCTGTTACTCGTTTTCATCACAGCTCATCCCAAGAAGTGACTGAGGCTTGCGTCACTTCAAGCTCTAACTTTAAGATGTTTCTTCCCGTTCAGCAACTGAGGAAGCTGGTGCTCGAAATCATCCACCGCATCCCAACAAACGAGCACCTTCGCCCGCACACCAAGAACATCTTGTCCGTGATGTTTCGCTTCCTGGAGGTACGAGTTTGCTTCCTCTCCAACACATCCGGTGTTTTTTTTTGTTGTTGTTGTTGCAGGAAACGGTGAAATATGTCGGTGTAATGTTGTTTTCTCTTTTGAATGTTGACCGACTCTTCGCCGACTCATACGAGGGGGGTGAAAGAATAAACGTGTTTACGTTGACGTGTTAAATGCAGGAACTGTCGCGTCATTTGCTCATTTGTTTTCTTAGATTGAAAGTGAGGAAAATGTGCTGATTTGCCTTCGGATCATTATCGAACTGCATAAACAGTTTCGCCCTCCGATCTCTCAGGAGGTAAGCATCTCCCGATTAGTTGTTTTAGCATTCTCAGACATTTCTGTGTGAAAGAATGTACTTTAACAAAAATAAATACATTTGTGGAAGTCATTCTTCATGTTACTGTAGCGGAGTTTAACAGACACCAGGCGTAGTATCATTTATTTCCAATTACAAAGGTACATTCAAAGCGTTTTCAACCAGTTTTCTGTCGTTGTTTCTTAGATTCACCACTTTCTGGACTTTGTGAAGCAGATTTACAAAGATCTTTCTAAAGTTGTTGTAAGTCCGACTCCACTTAAGGCTGCGTTTTCTCCCTGTAATCATATAATGTGTTAAATTAACAGCCTCTCTTCTGTCTCTTCTTGTTCTTCTGTGTTTGGTTTTACTGCTCCCTTCAGGCCAGGTACTTTGAGAATCCCCAGGTGATCGCTGAAAACACCGTGCCCTCACCCGACATGGTGGGAATGATCACATCAGTTTTGGTTAAAACGGCGCCTGAGAGGGAGGACAGCGAAACCCGAACAGTAAGCGGGAGATTTGATCCGTCATGTTTGAACCTCATGCTTCTGCACTACTGTCTTGTTTCCACTAGATGGCAGTGTTGCATCATTCTGTGACAACATAAGACTCCTGCGCTTATTCAAAGCTAAGATCCATAAACACACACCATGTTGTTTTTATGATAGCCATCAAGCAGTAGGAAATAAAACCGTAACACTAAAGATTCCTCACGTCAAAGTAAACTATACATTAAATCACACTTAGCTTGAACAGTGCTTTTGGGAAAACTAGAAAAACCTCAATAAATAAACATTTTTTGTCTTCTTTACATGGCCGCTTTGGGTTTCTTGAAACGCATATTTTTTTTGTTCAGCAGTTCTGTTTTGTATTTTATTTGAGTGTTCTCATTAGGTTCCTCCTTCTTGTTTCTGCCTCAAGCACACCATCATCCCTCGGGGGTCGTTGTCTCTCAAGGTTCTGGCTGAGCTGCCCATCATCGTCGTGCTGATGTATCAAGTAAGTACAACTTGAGGACTCGTCTCGAGGATTGATTTAGTTGTGGTTGAAGGTAACGTTAAGATGATTAGCCAAAGATCTTGTCTTCTGGGAACGTGTTGTGAATGAGTCTCACCTACTACCACACCAGTTTGTTCACGTTGAGGGAGCGGTGGTGCAGAGGTTAGAGAAGGTGAGCCCGTGATCAGAAGGTCGTCGTTTCGACTGGGAAAGGTGAAACACCCGCACCTCTAAGCTCCTCCTTCATTTGCCCCACTCTGGGCCCTTGAGCAAGGCTCTTAACCCCCCACCATCTGCTCCCCTGGGCGCCCTAGATGGCAGCTCTCTGCTCCGCACAGAGGGCTGTGGTAGCTCGGTGCTCTGTGGTTGCGTCAGGAAGAGCAGTGGTGTCAAACCGATCGCCAAGTCTTCACGAGAGTTAGTTTGCTGTGGAGAGTCCTGAGGAAGGGAGCAGCTGAAATGAAGACATTTTTATAACCGACCGAGTTATAGCCTTTTTTGTGTTTGCTAAGTTTGATCAGCTGTGGCAGCCATCTTGAATATGGGTGACTCCAAAAGTTAATCAGTTGTAGATAATCATCCACTGATTGTACCCTGAAAGTTTCATTTAAGTCTGTCCAGTAGTTCATGAGATATTTTACTAACAGACAAATAGAGTTGACTCTAGTAGTTAATAGCAAAAATAGAAACATCTCAAACAATCTGTTAGCTTTCAGAATATATGTTAGGAATCAGTGTCAGTTACTTCCTCACCAAATTTTATCTCAATATCTGTACAGTTGCCTGAGTTATAACCATTTCTGTGTTTTCTAATATTTTTTTTATTTTTTATTTTTTATTTTTTTATTTTATTTATTTATTCATTTCATAACAAAATAAAATACATATCAATTAACATATATGTAATTAGAAAACAATTATAAATATAAAATGAAAGGTAGCAGATGAAGAAAAAATCTTATTGAATCTGCTCCTTATTTATCTAATAAACCATTCAAACAAACATATTCAGAAAATTATCAGAAACAAGTAAATAACTCATGTAATATTTCAAATATCCAACATTTTTCATGAAATACATTCATATATATTTTTTTAGCAATTGAATTTTTACCATTTTCTTAAATACCGAGATTGATTTAGCTTCCTTAACATCTAACTCCAAGTCGTTCCACAGTCCAACACCCTGAATTAGGGTAGATCTTCCCTTCAAACTGGTTCTGAATTGCGGTTTAACAAAAACATCTTTCCCCTTAAGATTATAATTACTAGCTCT